GGTGGGCGTGGACTAATTTTTTTTCAGTGCTTATGCTCTGCATAACGGGATAAACCCACTAAAGCGAAGGCCTTAAAGGGCTACGCTTATATTCATAGAATCTGGGGTTACAGTACGTAACCAACGTTTTGGTTCCGTCACTGTGAATTTTGTAGAGACTCAAAAGGATCTGATGGTTTTCCGTCTGCACATTTAGTCTAGATAATTATGCTACCTGAAGAATTTGGGCTGATGTGGCTCATTGTTCTCCTCCAGGACTCTCCGTCTGTTTCTCTGCAGCTGTTCAATCCTCTGCTTCTGTTCCTCTGCAGCCTCCGGGTTACCCTCCTCCAGCAGCCTGCCGTCCAGACACACACAAAACGTTAACGTTTAATATTCAAGTTTAATCCTCGGGCATTTTAATTGTGAGTCATTGCTTTGAGATCTAAAAGAAAAAAAACAAAACCCAGAGAGCTCATCAGATGATGAGCGGCGGAAGCAGCATAATTTTTCACTTTGATGGGTAGATCGTGACTGGTTCCTCCGTCTTTGTTGCCTCGGGTCAGAAGCGTTATATTTTAAGACATTTGAAGCGAAAGATAAAAATAGTTTGACGAACATGAAAGTGGCTGCAACTGCTGGATATTTTTAACGACTATTTCTGTGAATATTTTTTGCTTGTTTGAAAATGAAAGAGCATGTGAGAGTCGGATCATTAAAAGTCCAATCATTCAGGTCCTTTACAATCAAATGCTGTGTTTGACATTTTACACTTAATTAGACCAGGCTTTACAAACAAAGAAAAACAAACCAGTGATCAGATGTTGATTTTTTTTGTTTTACCTTTGGTCGACTCGTAATCGAGTGTCTGTTGGCGGCAGCAGCAGTTTCAGGGAGGGCTCCAACTCGTTAAGCTCAATTGCAAACTTTGTAAAACCGTAGTACTGCTCGTAGTTCACCGGCATTGCATCTAAACACAGACAACATGCAGAGTTGAACATTAACAAGGTGAGTTTATAGAAAAGCTGATTGTGCTTACAGTACCAATACATGACTCATACTTGCTCTCCATATGCATGTAGCTGATGGGGGGTCTCCACAGAAAACTGCTTCATGCCACTTCCCAAACAGCCTGTGGATGACCTTTCCTTTATTATCTGTAATCGTTCCCTCCACCTCATTCACACTCGAGTTCCAGTATTTGGCCTGGAGGAAAAAGCGTGTAAAACGTGAATGAGAATAGATAAATTGTGCAAATATCCTCCTCCAGTCGGCAGACGTTTCTGCTGTGTAAACACTCCTGACACCCTGCGCGTGTGTGGGTGTGTGTGTATTTCGCAGAGCTGACGTGTGCAGTAAGACACGAGGATGCGTAATGAGTTCTGACATGTCTTGTTTTGATACCCAGCACAGCTTCTGGACTTCTTTCAAGTGGCACACAGCGAAACGTTAACCTGATCCTCCCAGTCCAGGTTTTCATATGTCAAACATTAAAACCACGACATATTTATATGAAGAGCACCTTCTGAATGGACAGTATAAAGACTAGTAAAGAAAAAAACAACATGATATATGTGTTTTTATGCAACATACATATAACCTCCAGGAATATTTTCCAATACAAACATGTTGAAAGAAAGAAAGTGTGTTTAAGAAGCATCCAGAATGCACCAAAACATGACTGTTAAACACAGTCAGTTTTAAATGCTGGATACTTTTGCAATAAAATGCTTTAACATGATACTATTAAAGTGCTTCCATGATGGCATGCACCTTAAAATGGTAATTTTTTTTTGTTTTGTATTCATCCAATCTGATTCAAAGCCACTACTGAGGGTAATAAAAGCAAGAAATGAAATGGTGCAGAATTTATTTTCATTCAACCTTTATTTAGACAGGTTAATCCCATTGAGCCTCGAGGACTCATTTACAAGAGAGACCTGATTTTAACAAAGAATGATGACAACAATGGACAATTATAAAAGAGGCGTACAGATTTTTTTTTTTTTTTTACAAATTAAAATAAGATGGCAAAAGAGTAGCAAAAACAGCTAGATTATAAGGCAAATGTAGAAAACTAAAAACAGGAACATGTCTGCATTAGTCCTTGCCAGGAGTCCAACAGATTCTTAAAGCCACTTAGAGAGATCAAGGTCGAGAGCTGTTGGCTGATGGTCCATTTAAAACCCACCTGGACTTGTTAAAATGCAACAACCAAATGTAAAAATGTTTGTGGAACTATAATTTAATTAAAAAAATTTATTGTATAAGAAATACAACATTATAAACTAACTTGGTTCATTTGTTTGCAGGTATAAAACTCTTCCGATAGAATGATTACTGTGATCATCCTGCCTCTTTTAACGCTGTTCCTGGGTTCTGGTATCGGTCAGAGTACAAATCATTAATCCAAAATTTTCTCTCCAAGTGTGTTTTTTTGGTCTCTCTCACCTTGACGAAAGTGATCCTGCACTGACACGTATCACTGTTGGAGTTTTTGATAGAGATCTCCCCGTAGTGCTCGATCCAGCGCTGTCCGCTGAGAATGTTGTGGATGCTGGACGTCACTTTGTTCCATTCATAGTGGTCTCCAAATCTGGGCAGAGGAACCAGAACAAGGTTCTATTTTATCATACTGTCTTAGGCTATTCACTAACAGATGTGCCTCCTGGTTTGTCCTCTTGGTCTTTTTTTGGCTTCTCCCTTTAGGTGTCATCACAGAAGATCATCCCTAGTGTCCTCTGTCACACCAACCCTCCATACATTTTCTTCATCACATTCAAACCTCATCTGTGGCCTTCCTCTAGTCCACCTCTCTAGAAGCTCCATATTCAACATCCTTTCCACCATCCTCTTCTGCACATATCCAAACCCTCTCAGCCTCTAACTTTGTCTCCATACTACTTAACCAGCAGTACCTCTGATATAACCTGTTGAAAACAGCACCTCAGACTGAGGAAGTCTCTTGGATGAGAGACGAAACGTTTCTATATTTTTTTCTTTGTTTTTCTTTTTTTTTTCTTTTTTTTTTGAATGTCCAGAGGACCAGATTGAACTTTTTTGGACTCTGATATAACCGTTTCTAATTCTGTCCATTTTGGTCTCTCCCAATAAAATTCTTGGTATCTTTGTCTATGTCACCTCCAGCTCCTCCTACTGTCTTTTGTAACGCCACCATCTCCAAATCATACAATAAAATCAGTCTCACCATTTTATAAACCCTCTCTTGTTTTACTTTTAGTAGCTCTCTTATCACAAATCATGTTTCTGTCCACCCTAACCTGGCCTGCACTCCCTTCCTCACTTCTTTTGTGTCTGTTAATTGATATGGCTGACCTCAGGTATTTAAAACCAATCCATCTTCAACTGTTCCACCAGTCTCCCTTGTTCTACCTTGATTTTACTAACTCCCATTTCTTTTAATTCCAGAGCATACCTCCATCCACCTCTCCAGGCTTTCTTCCACTTGCTCCCTAGTTTCACCATAGATCACAACATCATCTGCAAACCTCACAATCCATGCAGGACTCTGTCAACCTGTCCATCTCCACTGTAAACAAGACAGGGATCAGAGCAAATCCATAATGTTATCACCACCACCTTGAACCCATTCGTCGCACCTACATCCCATCACTGTCTCGCTGTTCTTGAACATGTCCCCAACTACCCTCACATACTTCACCACCACACCTGGAATATTGACA